AGATTTTCAATTTTAGGGACTTAAATCCATGTTTTGAAATAGCTAATATGGTGTGTTTTTAATATATATTGCATGTCAACATCATATTCGTGTAGTTATACTGTCAATTTACATGTGGCCATGAAATCAGGCACAAACTAATCACTTGTTTTCGAGTAATCTCACGCCATTACGCCGAAATTTTGTAACCTCACGCCGGATATATCCGGCGTGGAGTGCATGGAATGCACACTGGCCTGTATATACATTTAATGCTGCGGAGCGCCAGCGAGGCAGCACACTATTCTCCACACACGTTGTTTTCGTTACCAGTCCCCGCGCCCCGAGTTTAGTAGTCTTGTGGCTTGAATCTCGATATTTCGTCGAGTTGTATGTCCGCATCCAAGGGGGTTACGGAAATTAATGAAGTATCAAGGGGGGTTGTCTATCAACGATATGTACGATATTACAAAAATATATTAAACGATATGATCGTTCATCAATCTCCATTTGCAGTTTATTAAAACAAACAAAATAGAAACGACATATTATTTTGAATAAATCAAGTACGAATGGCTTTATTTCTTTCTGGTGAGATACATGAATGCAGTGGATCTGCTATTTAATAGCGTTCGAGCTAGGTATTGAAACAATATGATGATATTACAAAAATATAAATGATAATAAATCAGGTACGAATGTCGAATGGCTTTATTTCTTTCTCGTGATATACATGAAAGCAGTAGATTTGGTGTTTAGTGTTCGATATAGAGCTATAGGTATTGAAACAATATGATGATATTACAAAAATATAAAAAATAATAAATCAGGTACGAATGGCTTTATTTCTTTCTAGTGGTGATATACATGAAGGCAGTAGATCTGCTGTTTAGTGTTCGATATAGAGCTAGCTAGTATTGCAACAATATGATGAAAACAAAAATATAAACGATATGGCCGTTCATCAATCTCCATTTACTGCAGTTTAATATTGGTAAGAAATAAAATAGCCGAAACGAGATAGTTAGACCTGGATCATCAGTATGGCCGCTGTTTAGTGTTCGATATAGAGCTAGGTATTGAAACAATGTGAATTTATTGGCAGTTTTAATAAATACACTATAATTTGTCTTCAAATCTCTCAACCCTGAAAGTAAAGACTTTGCAAGGTTCATATCTAGTTGTAGTCAAATGTTCACAATAGAGTCACAATAATCAATATACCCTTTGAGAGGTCATGTTTCATTATGCTGTATATAAACGAACAATGTGAACTAGCCATACATTTCGCCACGAACATTACTTCGACCCCTTTGTTCATATCTTTTTCGTAATAGTCTTATTCGAACCAGAATGCAAAACACTATTTAGAGTGTTATTTTCAAGCTTGTGTCTTCAGATTTTCATCTTTTATTTCGGTATTTACAGAATATTTATATTTTTAGCGCGGCGAAACGTACATCAAAACAAAGTCAAAGAGCTGTTGTTGCTGTTTAGTGTTTGTTAAATCGCCTGCAACCCTCTCTCCTCCGCAGAGCCTCCTTATTAAGTATTTACAAATAACTTACATGAAGTTTCCTGAATAAAAGTGAGCGCGCGCGGTGTGATGGGAAGATTGAAATGAAGTTTGGGAGGCTCTGCCAGATAATGCGACGAAGTATGGTTTTTGAACCAAACTAGTTGTTTGACCTTTTTTTAAACTTGAAATTGACGGAAATGCGAAAGAAATTGAAATGAATCTTCATAATCTCAGTATCGAAGTCCAATAGAGACATTTTTAAAACGAAATGTTGCAATTAAGAGGATATTTATAATCAGATAGCTCGTATCCATTGATATTCGTTTGCACTTTCTCAATATTTTTCGATTTGAATGGACAGAAGAAGATATTGATATTGAATTCACCCCAGGATACTCAAGTACGCCTGAAAATGAAAGTCGAAAACATGTTTTAACACCTCCGATGGTTGATCGAACTTCGCTACAAACGATTATATACGACGCCATATTGATTGCTTTAACTCGCAGAGGCTTCCTTTATTTAGCTCTTCCCATCACTCCTTGCGCGCTCACTTTTCCCTCACTAGAAACTTCATGTAAGCCTCTGCGGAGGAGAGAGCCTGCAACCGATAATTGCACTATCGGCGAACTACGTATAGTTACATATAAAGTATAAGTAAGGTATACTATATATAAACTATACGTCAGTTCGCCGATAGTGAAGTCGGGTGGCGATTTGATATAAGGTACACTTTAACACTTAGCAATATATTTCGCTAAAATTCAGTCGTTTAGAACTTTAGTGTGCTGCGGCTGCCTATGCTTTTATATGGCCAAGCATACACGTAGCGCGTGCGTGCGATCCTAGAGTTAATACTAAAGTAGGGTGTCAGCTGATGGATTAATAGACCTTAGTATAATTACATAGGTGATTATTGAAAATTCTCCACGCTGATTGGTTGCCGTTGAGGTGATTATTACGCGATAATCACCTAAGCGATTTTCAAAATGGCGGTCGAAGCCGTTTTGTCAATTAAATGACGAAGAAATGTGCATTTTAAAATTTGTTTCCAAATAATCACCTATGAAATTATACTAAAACAATTATTCACCTCAGGCTCGGTGATTATCGTGAATAAAAACCTCGACTTCGTCTCGGTTTTTATTCACCGATAATCACCTCGCCTTCGGCGAATAATTGTTAATTAATGCAGTTTATCCACTTTTGACCCAATGGCTTCATTTTCATTGTAATTGGTCTTATTAATAAATGATGTAGGACAAACAAATTTGTGCAGGAAACATAGGGTATATAATCTTCATGTGCAGGCCTGCCCTGCTACCAACGAAAGTGGAAATGAGGCCATTGGGTCAAAAGTAAACTTCCCTTTTATAGAGAATTGTCTAAAAGTATAAACTTTTGCGTTCAGTTCATGTGGCAAAAAGGCAGCACTTTCCTTGCGATAGTAACTCCTAGTTTTGCACATACAACTGCATAAAATCTTTACCTGTTAGCTGTGCCATCAAATATCGCCTTCGCCTAAATCTCTCGGGGTCTTAATATTAGTCAGTTTGTTGTCTTTCGTGGGCGAGAATACCGTGCACGACTTTTAAATCTTTGAACAAAAGGTCAAAAGTCGGAAAAATATAAAAAACAACGAGTTTTTACTGCAAGAACTTCGAAAAGCAAAAAAAGTTTTGATAAAACCAGGGCGGGGTGTAAAATTGTAGCGGGCTCAGAATTTAGCCTGGTCAGCGGTTATTCTATGAGCTGGAGGAACCAGTTGTCATGGAAATGGTGTCATATGGCGCGAAAATCCGCCATGTTTTCAGTAATATTATAGCTTAGTGTTGGCCACCCACGCCCGATTAGACTTCGCTAATGCTTTCGTTTCCCCGGGTGTAATTAGCCCGGGGGGATTACTACCCTCGCCCAGGGCTTGCGCCCGGAACGGCGCTCCGCGCCGTTGGCTCGTGGGTTATTAAGCCCATCGCAATTTTACTTTACTCGATTTCTAAGTGAGTTGCGGATCAAATTCTGATGCAAAGCCCGATTTTGATTTGATTTGGGTTGAATATTCTGTAATTCTGTTATTCTTCTCTGAGACTATGAAAAAAAGACCTTATTTGCAAGTTTTTGCAATCTGGCTCTGTATGTTTTGTTTACATGCAGTGCATGTATGCATCTGCTATTGTTAGCGGGCTTGCCAAAAACCATGCATTCAACCATGCATTTCTATATTATTTATTTCATGCATGAAAGATTGATAGGGTCACCCTACCTCCATGTAAACAGGCCCTTAGAATTTACACACAGTCGGTAAGATAACAGGATCTCGTTATTTTATAGCAATTCCACATCTCTATACCGAGTCCAACTTGACGTAAGGTAAATCCGTTGGTTTACGTATCGGACAGGATACACTTTAACACTGACAACAGTCACAACCACATCGTTTGCTCGATCGATCAGTCGGTCTAGAAGATTTTTACACTTATATATACATTGTGTTTTTATAGCGAAGGGTGCTTTTCTTGCCAAAAGCCTTGTGTCCACTGAAATCTGATACAACTTCTCGCTTGACTAATGTAACCCAACACTCAATGATATAAAGGAAGTCGTGTCGACTCATAATAAATACAAAATCTTTCAGGATTTCTTGTTGCAAATTTAAATTTTATTGTCCGAAACTATAATACACAACTACACAAGTTGTAATTTTCCAAGCGCGCTCCCCTGCCACCCTCTACTAATGACATTTTTAATTTGCCACACGAAATCCGCGTGACCAGCCAGGGTCTTTCCTTAGCAAGAGGGAAGGGTCTGGGAACGAGGTTGAATGGAAACTAGCCACTACCTTTCGCCGAATATAACTTCGGTCCCTTTTAACCTATCTTTTCCGTGATGGTCTTGTTCGAATCACAATCCAAGCCACTATGTAGAGTGTTATTTCAAGCTTGTATCTACAGATTTGCATCTTTTATTACGGTATTCAAGAATATCTAAATTTTTAGCAAGAGCTTCAACCGGAAATACAACTTGAAATGTCGAAACAATACGATGTTTACATCCTAGCACTCGGGAAACGTCGGAAATCGATTCTAAAGGTCAAATTACCCCTGCAGCGTAATTTGCACGTGCATCGGGATACGGGTGCTCCTTATTGGCCAATTTTAGCGTGTAGCACGCGCGTGCTAGTAAAAACCCGATATTTAATTTTGAAAAATTCAAAATAAATATTTCTACTCGCCGTAAACTTTCTACACGAAAGCACTTGAATACAAGGAATATTTTACTCCTATTGACTTGTGGTGAATTCTGAAGAGTTTGGAAGATATTCAAGTTCTTGCCAAGCGGCGAGTAAATACACGATTGTTTTGGTTTGTGTAATGTTATGACGCATTTGACCACCCCCGGTTCGAAAGGTTATTTTATGAGTATTTCAACGATTGTTTTCATTTTTAAGGGGGGTAAATACTTGCCGAGATATTTTAATCTTCCCCACTCCAAAGTCGGAAATGTGATATAAACCGGACGGCATTGAGTTTTAAACTGCTTGCAATCGCTTAGAAAATCAACTCTTTCGAAGCCTTCAACACCTCATAAAACATGTCAGGATTAGTCAAAACAAAAAAATACGACTGGACAGACTCAAATCTAGCTCTCTTTGGCTCCGATACCGAGAAAAAGGCAAGTTTTAAACGTGTTATATTTTAGTGTACTTTCCTCACCTTACTAGTATCAAATTTCTTTTGGCCATTTAATTGTACATTTTTTAAAATTTCATACCCGAGTTAAAATTAAAGCCATTGTGAATTGTTTGCATTCATCGAAAGATGCGTAACTTTAGCAAGAATTCGTCGAATTTAATGGTGAAAATATCTATAATTCAAGCATTTAATGTTTAAACCCGCCCTAAAATTTAGTGAATTTTAGATAACATATATATCGTTGCCCATGTCACTGGGGAGCTGTCTTATTTCAAAACAGCTAATTACCATTTGTATATATCGCGCGGCGGAGATATAGGCCGTCCAATTTTTATGCTTTCTATATATTTACTATTAAATTTTCGAAATCCCCGGCGCGTAATTTCCAAATTAAATCCTTCGGTTAGGCAGCTAAAGAAAACGTCGCCTATTTACCTCCCTATGGTTATAGACACTTTAGTAACCTATTTTAGTAAACTATTTTGAAAGATCTTAGCGGAATTAAGACGTTTTATCAACGCTTGTATAAAATCCTTGGGACTCCGTATTGAGTAAACATTCGAAAGTTTGATTTGCTACATTTCAACTTTGGCGTAAAAAATGGCGGTAAAGTGCTTATTTAATCCGTTTATTTAACCGATTTTTTTTTGCGATACGCAGTTCTTTGGAAAGTTTCAACTAAATGATTGTAAGTCTACCACGTAACCAAATTTCTGCATTTTTAACACGCATAATCGTTCGAAACAATGCATATGTATTTTAAAGGTAACTTGTTATATTAATGTGGTTTATGATTCAATATTTCGGCAGGTCAAAACAGATTCAGCCGAGACAGAGCCTGCTTGGAAGGGCGCTGGACAGAAGCCTGGCATTCAAATATGGAGAATTAAAAAATTCAAGGTAGTACAAAGCATAAAAAGTCTATTTTGAGCATTATTCAAGTCCCTTGTTGTAAAGATTTTTAATTAAGAACAGAATTTTATATAAATATTGGGTTTGCCCAAAACTGCTCCCAGATTGGTCAGTTCGACCGTATATGGCAGACTGTTTGTTCAGTCTAGAATTTTAAAAGGGTATATTGTAAACATTGCCAGGACTAGGTTTGGACTGGACTTTGGACTGGACTCGGGACTTATAATTTTTTCTTACAGTAAGATTTTCCCATAAATCCCCATAATTATCGTTAGAAACAACGAAAAGGAGCTCGACAGGTCCAATAGAACAAGCACGTCGCGTCTGCAAGATAATAGAGACGTTAAGATACCCAGGTTCCGGTTTACTATTATTGTTATTTATTATTTTCACATCTTTTAACACGGTGTCTAATCAACCCAACTATTTCTAAATATATATATATAT